TTCATTTTTTTCAAATTTCAATATTATAGTTAACATACTTATGAAAATCCAAATATTATAAAATAGAAAAATATCTAATTATAGACATCCGAGCTAGTCTGCAAGGAAGACTAATACGTATTTAATTAAATAATAATATAATAATAGCAAATTTTGTCATAAATTGTGTCATAAAGATTATGTGTCCTCTAAGAGTTTGCAGATATCTTCATCATTCAAACCTCGCTTACAAGGAGCCATCGGAATTGCTAAAATAACTTACTAACAGAGAGGAGAAAACAGAAAAAACATCTAAGGAATATTTGGCTAAACTATTTTCACACCAATATTCAATATATGCCAACCTCCAATGCCGAATTTCGCGAAACCCTCTTGCAATCCTCCCCTCGAAGCCTTAACAATAGAGGGGGAACTACTTAAACCACTTATCATCAAGAGGAGAAGAGCAAGTTTGACAGTGAAAGGGGAAAAAAATGTGTGGTACAAATGTTGTACCGAAACCGTCTTAAAATAAAATTATTTTTAGGGTACAACTGTCGTACCCTCCGTCCCCTAAAGGTTAAGATAATTAGAAATATTTAAGATGAAAAAACTAACAGCTATTAAAAAAACTGAAAGTTGAAAAAAGATATAAAATATAAAATAAATATTGTCTTACTTCTTAAAACAAAACTTTAATGCTAAATATAATATTTTCCGAAAAAAAAAATTTCCATAAAAAGTAAAAAGAGATAATGTCAGAAACAGTTTTAAAAATGCAGCGCTATCATAAAAACGCCCATACAAAAATATCATATACATAAGCAAAATATGAAGAATAAAAATCGATCTTAATTTTTGAAAGAAAATTTTAAAGCTAAGCATCTCAGTTTTTCCAATTACTGTATTTTCAAGAAAAAGCAAAGTTTAAAGTCTAGTAGAAACTCTCTGAATAGTCACGTTTGAGACAAGTTTTTTAAAAAAGAAAAAGCTAGATAGAAACCAAAACAAATAACGTTCTTAATTTTTAAACAAACGTTTTAACACTAAAAATTTCAATTTAGCTTTTTCCCAAAATTATTTAAATTATATTTCATCAATTCAATTTAAGTGAAATTTTTGATGATATTTCATACAAAGGCTTCATGTACTGTGGGCCAAAAAAAAAATGGACCACCCTAAATTACCTTTGATCTAATGATCAGATCTTTACGTTCTTCGACTCATTCTTAATGGTTAGAGGGGGTGACCTCTAATATGCTAATTAATTAGTGCAGACGATATTTTAAGTTATGAAATCAGACACAAAACCATACTTTTTCTGAACATACCTTTTTTTATTTGGATTTCTCACCCTCCCCCCCCCCAAAAAAAAAAATTTAGAGGCTAGTTTCAGTCTGGGAAACGCACTTAAAAAACTTGTTTATTTAAAGATAATTCTATGCAAGAAATACATTTTAGTATATATTTTTCATTATTTTATTTAATAATAGTCAAAAAAAATTTGAATAGTAAGATATAAAAAAATTTTATATCATTTTAAAGAAAGTAATTTCACATGGCAAAATATAAAATATGAGTGAAATTGGTTGAATAATTCCTGAGGAATCAAGTTTTAAATGTATGACTTCTTTAAAATTCTATTTCTCAGGAACTATTCAATCAATTTCACTCAAACTTTATATTTTGCCATGTAAAATCACATACTTTAAATAATGTAAAAAATTATACACCTTACAATTTAAAATTTTTAGACTATTATTAAATAAAATAATAATAAACATACACTAAAAAAATTTTTTTGCAAGGAATTATCTTTGGATAAACGAGTTTTATAGTTGTGTTCAAAAAATTTTCTTGTGGCTTATAAAGTTTTCGAGAAATGGTGAAATACGCAAAAAATAAAATTAACATTAAGGGGTCCAAACTATGGGGATCATATCCCTATAATTAGGGGGTCAAAACTGGAATCCGTTGAAAAAAAGGAGTGTTTATTCAGAGAAAGTACAGTTTTGTATATGATTTAGTAACTTAAAATATCGTCTACACTACACTAATTAATTAGCATATTTGAAGTCACTCCTTCGAACCATTAAGAAAGAGATCTAGAACCTGAAGATCCACTCATTAGATCAAAAGTTATTCAGCATAGTCCGTTTTCTATTTTGAGCACTGTACATACATAGAATATAAGTTGAAAGAAGAATAAACGTTATTAAAATGAATTTATATTTTTTCTACATGCTTTCATATTTATAAAATAATACATACTTTTAAAATAAGTACACTAATATCTTTTATAAAGAGAAGTGCCTATTTATTGTATAAAAACCATCATTTAGGATATGCTAAAGTTCATATAAATTCATCAAAAAAAAACTTTTATCTTACTGATTGCTATCTTACTCAATTACTATCATACTATTTACTATTTTACTCATTTATAGATTATAATTTAAAATTATTTTTAAAAGAGATCTTTACAAAAGATCTTTCAGATTTACACTTCATTATTATATTAAAAGAATAACCTTAATATTGAAGTAAATATTAGAGAATAGATTAATTAAATAATTTTCTAAAATGAATTTGGTGATTTCAACAGAAATTTTATATCTTGCAATCCGTTTACTTATACTTTTATACTTAAATATTTTTAAAAATCATTAAGATCAAGCCATAAAGGATCAGAACAAAGAGCATTTGCCCAGTGCTTATATAAATAATGTACAACAATATAAATAATGATGGCTATGAATTTCACCCAGTGATTGAATTAAAAATTTTAACCCTATTCTGTGATGCTTTTTTGTTAGCTCTTTGGTGACCATTGCTTGCTCGTCCCTAAAACTTAAGAACCATTGTGGTGCATGATCATAAATAGAAATCTTTATTAAGCTATCAACCACAAAACCATTTTTACACTAATTTTATTATTTTTAATAGGACGATTTCTTTATTAGTGTCTACGCCAAATGTTGGCAATAACCAGCAATGGCAGGGGAGCAATTAAAATAAAATTCACAGAATAAAACAAGTACATAGTCACCTCTGATAGAAAAACTATAAATATTTTTAAAATAATTTGAAGAACAGAACAGTCATCTAGCAATTACAGTTGCTGGATACAGGTACTTATTTGGCAATATACCAAAAACATGTTCTATTAAAGAAATTAAAAAATATCAACTAAAATTTAAATTGAAAAAATATTTTTACAGATAAAATCAATTTTTAACAAATCTGAAATTATATTTTAGTTATGACACATTAATTCAATTTCACCCATACATGGGTGAGAATAAAATGTATGGAACAATATTTAATAATTAAACTTACCTCTAGTTTAGAATCCATTTTTTAAGCAAGCTATAATATATTACAAAAAAGTCTAAATAATTATTTTGTCAATTATTACATACTTTTAACAGAAAGGACAAAATTAATGTAACATCATGCAAACAAAATTTTTGACAAATCAAAATAAAAGTTGATGGATACAATAATTTAAAATAATGAGAAAAAAGTTACATTTTAATTGATCGAATATTAGAGCTTGTTAAAATTACTCTAAATAATTTATATTTTCTGTAATTGACAGCTGAAGAAATGTTTTTAATTCAGCAAAATTATTCATTTCACAATGCATTTCGTTAAGTAATATTAATGCAGCACATGCTTTCTTTTATCTTAAAAGTTGCTTTAGTTTAACAGTTTATTTGACATGGTAAAAAGATCATGATTGACATGGTAATGTTATGTGTCACAGAAAGAAAGAAAAAATTGAAGATCTTAGGGTAACAGAATCACTGAAAATATTAATTAATTTTACAAACAGTACAAATCTATTTGGAAAGCAATATTTTATCTAATCTTTTATTCAATTAAAAATTCAACGAATTAATAACAAATGTTTTCCGGGGAAAGGAATATTATTGTATCAAATATAAATAATTAGAAACTAAAGATCATTTTTATAATCTGTGCGTAACCTAGGAAAAGCTAAATTTCATTATTATAAATAATCGTTTACCTTTACTATGCTTAAAAAATAACTTTAAATAAATAATATCTTCTCTATCTTGAAGGCAAAAACAGAAACTCAAACAATAACAGAAATAACCATGAAGTAATGCGATGCATTGCCATTTACTCCAAAGAAATTAAATGTAGTGAGAGTGGTATGTTATTCTTCCACTAAAAAGGTCCTCTGCGGAGGGGAAATGTTTCCCAGACCGTCGCCAATAGCCCATTGTGCAGCTCTAGTACGAAGTAAATTAACAACAACAACAATCCACTAAAAAGGTAATAATTATTTTGAATTTTCGAGAAATGCATGTTTAATAGGTTCAAATTTCTCTTCTCCCTAAGCTTATTAACTCTGTAATGATCGCAAACGTTTTGCTGCATCTGCGTTACTTCTTTCTCGAAGACATGCCATCACAATTTTGATCCTCTGCAGAAGGGATGGCACCCCCGCTTCGGTAGCCCGACGACCTGCACGCGAAGTCGAGCACTTTACGGTAGCACAGTTTAACGAGGACCAATACCGCACACCCTCGGTCCCTACGCAGACTGATCCAAGTGGTCACCCACCCGCACACTGACNCAGAGGATCAAAATTGTGATGGCTTGTCTTCGGATCATCCTCAGGGATGTTTCCCAGACCGTCGCCAATAGCCCATTGTGAAGCTCTAGTGCGACGTAAATGAACTACAACAACAACAACAACATTCATAAATACATTGCATGAGTGCATTGCTCAAGGGATCATTCTCATAAAATGCGATTGGTTTAGGATTTTGAGGGGAGAATATATTTCACCAATCAGGTTCTCATTCTTCCTCGACGGCGATCGAAGGTGCGTGAACCACATGCAATGAAAATGGTTCTTCAGTTTTGTATTTTGTAACTCAATAAAAATATGACGCAACATCATTTGCATTTCACAATGTAGAAAATGATTTAATAAGAAAATTTTTACTTTCAAGTCTAAATTATGTTTCATCATGACTAATTTTAATATCAAATAAATGAATCTTATTCAAATATTTCACTTGTAATTATTCATATATTAGAAAGTAAGAAATGATAGATTTGAATTGAATTTGGAAAATGTGTCATATTATGCAGGAAAAGTGACAGATAAGAAAAAAAAATTATACTTTTTTTTGCAATTTCATAAAATTGCTATTTTAAAATAGGTTCTAGAGTTCCTTCTCGATTTTAGGTTAAAATATGAAGGTGTATTTTAAAAAACGTCTTTCATCTCCTCTATCCCCTACCGCAATCAAACAAGCCTTGGTGTTCCGTTCAACTGATTTGTAAGATTTTTATATTTGATTGCAAAAATATCAATTGGTGACCACTAATATGTAAACTCTTTACCATTGATAAAGTTTCAAATTTTTTCATTTTGGGAGTAATTTTTGGATTACAATCACATTACATAATGTGAAAAAAATTTCTGAAATTCCTTGAAATCTAATATATGCAAATTTGTTTTTAACTCCTCTATGATTAAGGGGTCAAAGTACCCTCAAAATAATTATAATTTTATTTTTTTTGTTAATTTAAGTAAACCAAACACCCTTTCACACATACTTAAATAAAATGACTTTTTTGAACATTGAAAAAAAAATTTAAATTTTCCCATTTTTGAAGTCGCTAATTTCTGTATTATTTTTCAAATTTTTTTTTTTATTATAATTCTTGTAGTTATAAGTCTGAGGATTCATTTGATTATACAGCAATTAGAATATTTTTAATAGTTAATTATGAGCAAAATAGAAATTTTTTTTAAAAAAAAATACATCAAATGCATATATGCTGTAAATTTTTAAAGCTATTCAACGCACAAGTAAATTAGACTGATTGTAAAAATAATTGCATTAAAATTCTTACGTCAAAGAGAAAAAAATCCCTAAGGATTCAAATAACAAATAAGTACGAAAATAAGCAGACAGACACGTTTATGCTGAAAAAAAAACTACCTTTTTGACAAACGATACTCTAAATTTAATAAATAATCCAGTTAGAGAGAATTTTTTCAGTGTGTTTGGAATTATTTGAAGTTTTAATGCAAGAAATAATTTTTTTTTTGTCGATACTTTTGTCTTATTTGGTTAATGTAACAGCTTAAAATTAAAATCTAATTATTAATTTTAATACAGTAAAAAAATTATCTACGACTTCCTCCTGATGTTGTTTATTTAACACAAAAACAATTCATTTACATAAGACTAAATCATGCAATACTGTACAACAATTTCGTCAAAATTTAAAAATATTACCAAAAAAAAAAAAAGAAAAAAAGAAGATAATTCTGACCATGACTTAAATTCCTTTATTATCATTTGATGAACAGGAATTGTTTGAATGATAAAAATGAAAGTTTAATGCACAGTCTGCATTTAAGTATAAATATTTATGAATTTTAAATCATATATATGTTGGCTATTGTTAAAAATTATTAATTAAATTTATATTTGTTTCAAAATCATCAAATTTATATTTCTTTCAAAAATAAAACTATGCTGTTTATTTAACTTGTTTTTAAAATACAAATTTCAGCTCTTTAATTACATTTTATATATATTTGCAAAGATTGTTTTATATTTAGTCTGAATTATAAAAATTTTCACAAAACAAAGATCGTAAGTTTTGGAAAAGTACGAAATTTTGCTTTCAGCAGAAGTTAAGGGTTTAAACTTAATATATCGTTGAATGCACTAACAGAAAACTAAATAACGCAAATCAACAAAATATAATCAAAAAAATCTAACATTATCAATAATTTTAATGTGAACTCAACTAAATTCAATGACACGACAGCCTACAGAGGGCCAACGCCTAATGTGCCCATCTAAGTTTTTCGGTAGATAATCTGATTGGGTGGTCAGAAGACAGGGAACCCTTAGTGTTTAGTCCCCAAGCAAGCTTGGAACTCATTTTATCAACCCAATGAAGGGATGAAAGGCTGAGGCACCCCCCCCCCCAAGATCTGTAGCTAAGAGCGGGAAGTGCTACTACTCTGCCGCCGGGCCTCAGATCTTAATGTAAATCCAAGGACAGTATTTTTATGTACTTTAAAATATATTCATATAAAAGGTACTAAATTATAATTAAATTTTTAAAAATATCCACAAGACACTTGCCAAATAAAATTAACCTTTTATATTCATATAGAGGAATATAATTTTATTTTATGTTCCCCCCTTCTTAAAACATACATGAAACAATAAAATTAATAAAAATAAAACATTAAAAAGAGATTTGGTTAAACTTACCAAAAATACTTCAAACAAAAACTCACACAAGATTTAAAAGTTCATAGTTTTATTATACAATCTCAGTTTAACAGCTTACATTGCCACAATCACATCATTCACTGTTTCATAAAAATCATAAGATCTACAGGTCAAGTGCATTTGTCTTTTACACTTGAGTGCTTACATTGTATTTTACATTAAGTGAGGTAACATCTGATCATTTTTACAATCATTTCATCACTTATGTATAAAAAAAAAAAGAAGTTTCTTCCAACATTCTGTACAGAAAATAAATAAATAAAATTTAAATAACTGATTTTCATGCTTAATAACATAATTTAAATATTGCATCAGCATATAAAATACTACAAACTATTGATTTACAGATGAAGCTCCAAAATTGCTTATTTATGTTTACGATTCATTTACTTTATAATCCAACGAACTAAGAGGACACTATACCCAAGAAACATTCTTCATGATAAAATCTCTTTTTCCTTCATAAGCAAATAAAAGTGTAGAAAAAGTGATTTTGGCTAAATCAGAGTAAACTTTGAAGTTCCAAATGCTTAAAATTTTTTTTTATTAAAATGCAAACAAATTAAGACAAGATATTTAAGATTACGCAGTGTTCTTGCTTATGTGGAATTGCGTTTTTTGTACACTAATTTTTAAAAATCGATCGCAATTTTGGCAACCCTGCTAGTTCTGGGGGACCCGAAAAATTTTGAAAGGGAAAACACTAACATTTTTCAAAATGAAAGTCATTTTCCCGGTGGGGAAGAACATGCCTTTTGCACATCTATAAACTTGTGTTAACTACCCAGTTCATGCAGTAACGTAACAGGAAAGTTAGCCGAATAAAACTAAAAAACACCACTTTCCATGCGGTGGTAAAATCAAACTCTCACACAATGTGCAAAAGCAGAAATTTTTATGTGACGTCATAAGTAGGAAATGATGAAAATAGCTGTCTGATTTATTTTCTGGGTATAACTGACAGTTTTCCTCACGGATGAGCAAATACAAGACTTCCCAGATTTTTTCGGGTGTAGTTACCAATAGGTAATTGTTTGCCAATACTTTCGCAAATACAATAGAATTTACAATTTTATAGTATTTAACAAGGTGGAAAATGCTTAGCACAGGCCCTGTTTTGTAAAGTGGGGGTACCTGAAACTCAGGTCGACAATAGTTCAGCACTGATAGAGTATGGAAGTAATATTTCAATAATCGATTTGAATTTTGACAAAATTTTTTATCATGCGAAACATTATTTGATCTGTTTCTTCAGTGACATAGCATCCTCTTGAGGTTGTAATCTTCTAAAGGTATATCAATCTTGTTAAGTAGTCATTCAAAAGTACATCCTAAATTACAAAAATTTTAAACTTACAGGTAAAAGTAAGAATTTTTTAATTCTGTCACAATATATGGATATAAAATAAAAATATATATAATTATATTAAGTTATTATCAGCAAGTTTCTCAGTGAAAAAAAAATATTTAAAATTTGTAGCTAACTAGCAAACTTTAACTGCATCCTTTGTCGAAAGCATTATTTAAAAGTCATGAAGGTAAAAATTTAAGATAGACAATACATTGAAATAAATGTAGCGAAATTAATGAGAAAAAAAGTACTACAATTATATAACAAATGTTTAGACGTGCATGATAACAGAAACAATATAAAAATGAGCAGCTACTCTGGTTTTATATGATTAAATATGTCTGTGAAGCAATTTACAATTAATCATAAAAAAAGTAAATAACTAAAGAAAACTAATAAAAATACTAAAAATAAATTAGACAACACATTGGTAACAGTTTTAAATCCCAAAATACATAGATAATAAATAGAACACATTCAATTTTTCAAAATTATGTAATATACAAAAACAATCCATTTTTTCAAAGCAGAAAAGGATTTAAGGACAATAGATTGTTGTTACAATGGTGATGCTAAACAATTTCAACAGAAATACGACATTTAATTCTTAAAAACTTTTCCCACTATTTACCATAACAATTAAAAGTATTGTTACATTGATTAGTTATGACATACTAAATACACTGAAAATACTTCAGTAATAATAATTTTCACAGAACTTTAGGAATCAGAAAGATGATTTATTTTCAACAGATTTAAATACAATTATGGATGATAATCATTGGCTTGAGATATGTTTTATTTCAATATTTAAGAATGTTTTTGTTTATTATTTTTCTTTGCAACACAAAATTAACCGCATGAACAAAATGTAAATTAAAAATAGGCATGCTCACAGTTCATAATCGATGATTGATGAACACTTCCCATATTCATTGATTTGGGAATGTTGCAATGACACATAAACGTCCTCTTCCAAATAAAAAGAAGAATTCATGAATTCTTCCAAGGTCCAAACCCTTTGGAATTGCAAAAAAAGTTAGCTGACACAGGCAGTTTAGGCAACAAATATGGAATGGTGCCTGTAAAATGCAAGTTTTTCTACAGTTACTATATGGCTAAACGAGTGATCCATAATACAACACACAGATGAAAGGCAAGACACTTTTCATTTACAGCTAACTCAAAGTCAGCCCCATATACGATTATGAAGGAGGCTGACAAATTTACATCAAAACTTGTAATCTGGGCCTGCCATTTCAATTGCCCATCTAAATTTGTCTCTTTGTGTTTTGTTGTAGACTTTCTCAATGGGGACACCATACTTTTTGCACCTATAATTCATAAGAAAAAGATAAGAAAATGATGACACTTTAACTAATTCAAAATATTTCTCTGTGACAAATAATTTCAAAGTTAGATTTAGAAAAGAAGAACGGGAAAAATATTGTATTAAAGCTATTTTAAGTTATTAAAACACTTAAAAGGATCTAGCATTTAGATTAACAATACAAATTTCAGTAGAGAACTAGTTTTATTATTATTTTAGGTTTCATTTTACTTGCAAAAGCAGTTTGACGAACAGGTTCAAATTTCAATGAAAGTTGAAGTATAAAAAAATCAAATTAAAAAAGAAAATAAACACTAAATGGACAAGAATGCAATGCAAAATAATTAAATAGTGAAGTTCCTAAATTCTATAGTATAAAAGGCAAAAGAGATAAAATTAGTCAGACTACAGTTAACAGTTGTTAAATAATGTAGATTTTTAATTAATGCTAATTTGCAAAAAAAAAAAAAAGAGAGAGAGAGAGAGAGAAGCTATACATGCAATAACATTAAAAAAAAACTTCACAGGAGTGAAGAAATAACACTTTTACCAGGCAACACTGATTCTTGGATCCAAATAATTTAGCTTAGATGTCCCCAGTGCTATCTGTTTATTTTCTTCACGATCTGTAGCTTGGATTTCCAATTTTTTTAGTTGATCTTCAAGTTGGGCAAGTCGTTTCTTTTTCTTGTCAAAAAGCCTACATTTTAAATAGAAAAAAGATATTAAGAGACAAATATAAAAAGATTTTAATGAAAAATATAAAAAGATTTTAATGAAAAATATAAAATGCAATGTCAAAAAAAAAAAGAAAGAAAGATTTAACATTAAGATAACAAAGATTAAGATTTAGATCGAAATGCTTTCTCACACTTTTAAAACCCACATCCTGTTTCTAAATCTATTTTTGGCCCAAGTAGGCATAAATTTAAATAAAGACATTTTTCCCTCTTAATCCACGTGAGAATCAATCAACCTAGTTCATAAACCAATGGTAACTTCTAAGATTTCCCTCTTTTCCCTAAATAGAGAAATTTTCGGATTTTTTTTTCTGCAAAGTTTTCCCTATTACACTTATTCCCTATTAAAGACTGATCGTCCATGGAGTAAACTACACTTTTCTCTTGCCACGCAACAAAGTATGACATAAATAAATTTCATTCGCTTTCATTAAAATCCTGTGTCTGCTTCCCTGCTCGGTCCGACTGCATCATTTTACAAGCCGAGCAGGATTATAAGAACTAATGAAACGGGCGCAGGATAATATTAAATGCTAAAATGATTCTTCAAAACACAAAAAAAAAAAAAATCCAAAAATTTCTCTATTTAGGGAAAAGAGGGAAATATTATTTTCCTGTTTAGAGAGTGTTTTTTGTTTTTAACGCTCTGGTGCGTCAGTGGCACACAGGCTCAATCTGTCTTCGTGAGTGCCACTGACGCTCCAGCGCGTTTGATCAATATTCTCAGAAATTACTGGCATATAGCATAAAATGGCAGCTTAAAAGGAATAAAACAGAATACCATTCAAGTATATGTAGTACCATTTAGGAAACAATTCTGAAAATATTTACAAATAATAAGCACAATATGCAGATATTGGCAGTCATGCACAATAAAAAATTCAAGCAAAAGTTTTGAAAACCAACCACAAAAAATAAAAAAAAATGCTACACTAACGTGCCGAAACAACCTTTCAGTTCAACTCCCAAAGCTACAGTAAACACAGAGCATATAACTTATTATAGTCGATCGACGCGCTAGAGCGTCGCCGGCATACCAGGAGGTGCCGCTCTCACGACCTAGTGCGTCAGTGGCAGCGAACATGTGTAAAAAAAAAGAAGTTTGATCACTGTTGAATGCTCAAGTCTGTAACTCATTAATTCTTTCAAAAAAATATTTATCAATTTATGATTAACTTTCATGTAGCCAAAACAAAGCAATGGCCAACATTATATACTGTGTTGAAAGAGTATTCTTTCAAACTAATAACAAACGAAAAAAAATCACCCCATTTTATTTTATTAGAATTTGCACAGAAAGCTATTTGTTACACTTACATTTATAAGCCTAATTAAATGCACATACATATTATCATTGATAGCTATTTTGTTAAGCAGGACATAGAATAAAGGAGAATTACTTTAATTGAATTACAGTTACAACAACCAATGTTTTATTCTATATTTTTCATTGTTTATTGCAACACAATAAAACTAAATTATATACTTTTAATTTCTAGATTATATTTTTTTTTACAAAACAATTTAGATATATTTACATTTTATCTTTTGAGTTTCCATTTTTGGCAGCTTGCTTTGCTTCCTTAAGCTCTTTCTTAAAATCTTTAATTTGTCTTTCTTTGTCATCAATCTGGAAGAAAAAAAATGTCTTTTTACTGTTGCCTATTTTAAGAAAGAATAAAGAACTGGAAACAGCTGTGTCTATATAATATGCATGGCAGCAACTTTAAATGTTTAATTTAAAGCACTAAACATGTTTTATCATTGTTATAAGACTCCTTCATTAAAATGCAGAACAGAATTAATGTTCTTTAGTCTCAAATTATTTCTCTTTATCACTATTTATTAGTTTTATTTATTAGTTTTATTTTTTTTAATTCTCAAATTATGCTAGCTTTCATGAAAGATTTTTTTTTTTTTTTAACTTCAGAATATTAATTTAAATGTACAGGTTTCTTGATACTAACCTATTACTTAAAGTGATACAAGAGGGCCAGAATGATGGGTTCTTTACTTTCTTGTAAAAGGTTTCAAAGTTTAGACATAGGACAAAGTTTTTTTTTTTTTTTTTTTTAAATTTATCTTTTGCTTATGGCATTTGAATTTTTAATTAATAAACCACTATTAATTTTTCTTGTCTAGATTCAATATAGATACAATTTAAATAGTCAACAGAGAGGTTTATGAGGGGGAAAAAAGATCGATGCATAAATGTTCATAAAATAGTGATTATTTAAACCTTTTAACTACAGTGCTTAGCTTTCATTCTGGTCTTGTTAATGTTACCTGAATTTTTAAAAATATAGTTCAATTTTTTAGAATATTTAGGCCCTTTAGAGTTAAAAATCAACCAATAAAGAATCAAGTTTTCAATAATTTGCAATGTTTATGTAGGTTTAAAGCATATAAACATTGTTTTTTTTCTCATTTAGGAGACGTTAAAGCATAACCATATAATAGTTTCATAAGTTTTAATATATAACTCTAACAGAAAAAATTAGGTTTCAATTACATTAGAAAAAAAGTATCACAGCAGACAGATTTTTTTTAATGAAAACTTACTTTTGTTTTTAAGTTTTCCATAGATTTGTCGAAGCCTTTGGGTACAGCACGTTGATGGTTACACAGGATGGCAACTTCTCTATTAGCTCTATTATATGCCAAAATTTTTTCGGGTATAGACATGTCCTCTAAATTGGAATTAATAAACATTAAGGATATTACAGCTAACAAAACTTGAGAAAATTAATAGCAGTAAATCAAGCTAATCAACATTAAGAAAATCTTACGGAATTTTTTATTTGTTTGGAATTCCCTAATTGTAAGAAACATTATGAATTTTGATGAAACAAGTAAAAGCTTTAAACTTTATTTCAAAATTTTAACATCATTTACAATAAGATTACGAAATTTTCTAATTTCGATAAAGATATTTTATTACTAAATTTTTTTTCTTCTTATTCAAGTTTCTTTTATGGATAAGTGTAATAATATATTTTAAGCTTAGTTTTTAATTGTAAAATACTATAATTCATATTTTCATAAAAGCAACATTTATATACAACATAAAACAAAAATGATCGGTAACTGTTTTTCATTGTTTCTAGTGCATTCTTACTGAAAAGAAGAAAAAAAAGCACACGATAGGATTTTTAATTAATAAAGATATAAAGAATAGAAGATATGGTACTCCAGTTTGGTATCTCTTTTCACTATTTTTTTTAAATATTTTTATTAAAATGAAAAGTAACAGTATTTAAAAACTTATTCAAAATAACAAAATGATTGAAATTTCAGGTCTAAAGTAAAAAGTGATGCTCCTTTGTAATATTACAATATGCTAAATTTTATTATCATAACAGATTTCTATCTGGTTTTTAAAATAATATCATCATTACATGTGAATTTCAAATCTTACTTTCATGTAATTACTTTAAATCACGACAATTTCATCGTAAAACAATTTGGTCTCATCAACCACTTTTTTACAGCAATTGCTACAAAATTAATAAAATCCCAGACATGACAACATGGAAAAATTAAGATTCAGGAGTTTCCTCAACAAGAATTTAGAAGGGGTAAAATAAGTATGGCATGTAACATATTTAACACTTCTAATAAAATATTTTAAATAAAAAATTATATAGATATAGGAATGCAAGCCATTTTACATAACAAATGAGAACAAATTATGTAAGGAATCTAACTTTTAATCAAGTATGTTGGTGCAAAAAGTCTTAACATAAAATTGAAATATAATCTTTTATTACAATAAGCATTTATTAAATTTGCTGTTGAAAAGACCTCCAACAGCAATTATTATTATTTTCTTCAAAGGGGAAGAAACGAAAATCCAAAGTAGGATATTTTATGAAAAAAAAAAAGAAGTAATATGATGACTGCTATCCCTGAAATAATAATCCTCTTTGTGCTTTTGCATATTTGTTTGCCGCAAAATATCATTCTTACCTCCGACAGTTTTCTTTTCTTTACTTTAAATTTACTTAGAATTCAGATTTTATACGTTTTCTTGCTTAAAAAATTCCTTAATTTTCCTATGTCTGTGCAATTAATTTTAAATTTTGTTTTTGATGAAAGTTTTTATTTTATTGATGAAATAAATACTTATAATGAGTGGTAATTTAATCAATAAAGTAAATAATTAGAAGTGTTTTTCTGCACCATAAGTGTTATTATATTTTGAAATTACTCTTTGTCAAAGATGTTAAATGCTGATACTGTGTTGCGAAAAGTTTTTGGTTCGATATCTGTGCAAGCAGAAGCTTTGGATAATAAACAGTTCATAAATATCTATAAATAATTACCCTTAGTTAAAAGATCCAGTTGCTCTTGCAAAGTTTTGGATGCATTATATGTACGGAAGACCTTGGCAGTTAAGCCTTCCATGAGATCATTAAGATACTTGTTAAGAATGGATGTCTGATGAAAAGAAAATAAATCTTATTAAAAGCAAATTTATAACACAAATAATTTTTTTAACAAGCAAAGGTAAAATTGTGCAAGAGTGCATTGATTTTAAAAATACTAACATTGAGACGATCAAACAAATCATCACCAGGCTGCTTATTTTCCATAAAAAGTTTCAAATTCTTGTAAGCTCTCTTCTCTACAGCTACAGAATTATAATACCTTATAGAATCTTTACCAAGAAAATCAAAAGTAACAACATATTCTTGGCCATCTTTTTCATCGTCTAAAGTAATATGTTCAACTCGCAATGAGCAACAGCCTACTGTGTCAGCAGTATCTTCATCTTTCTCATTACCAGCTCTCAATGCAAGCTAGAAAAGAAAATGAAAAATAAATCCAATAAACTGACTTCAACTTATAAATTTAATGCATTTAATAAAATTTTAAGTGTTCCATTGAAGCATGAGGAGTATAGTGATGCAATGAAAGGATATTTTAACTGATAGACATAGACATGAAACAAACACTTACAAATAGAAATTACATACTATTTTCTCTAAATAAAAAGCAGCTTTTTAAAAATTTTAACAGCCTAAAGTACTCAAAATACTTACTTACATATAGGCTAACTCATGTTAAATCTAATCAGTAATTTCTAATTAATTTTAATAATATTTAAATTTAATTTTTAGCAGTTTAATCACATAATTACTTTTCAGTGACCAGATAAAAAATGCCCTATTTTTTCTAATGTGCTATTATCAAACTAATAAGGAGATCATATAGTTTCTAGCAAAGTTTTATTAGATGAAAATTTATTCCAGGGGAAAGTTATCAAATAAAATAAATTTGATATATGAAAGATCTAGGACATTGGTTCTGAACGGGGGCGATACCGCCCCCCGGGGCGTTGGGAGTATGCTGAGGGGCGGTGAATTTGTTTTGGGCAGTAGGGGGGCGTTGGGTATGTTTTGGGCGGTAGGGGGCGATGAGCATGTTTTGTCATTCAAATTTAAAACTTAGAAATAAAATTATTAAATTAAGATTTATTTAATAAATAAAATTAATCTAAAATTAATATTAAAGAGAAAAAAAAAATCAAATTAATAAAATAAATAAAGATTATCCGATACACCATTTGTACCAGCAATAAAACGAACTTATACGGCACCTATTCTCCTATCCGAACCAACATACCTCAGCGCATGAGTCTGCACCTTTTGCCTTTGACTTATTCAAGCCATTTGGTGAAAATTGAAGTCATTGCGCTTTCAGTATGAATTTTTGATTTGACCCGTGTTTCATATAATGGTTTTTCTTAGCTTCATTACAGTTTTTCTCCTGCCACCAACAATGTCGGTTAATAAAAAGAGGTGTCATCAATACAGTGCCACATACTTGAAGTTGGGATTTGTTCAATCACTGTTGAACTCTCAAATACCCATGTGTTTACTTTGTAATAAAGGTTTATCTAATGAGGTAATGAAATCTTATCGTTATCAGGAGCATTTGCAAAAAACTTATCCTGACAAACAAAATAAAGGTTTGACATTTTTCATGAACATCTTCTTTCACGCTTCTGAAGGCATCTTCGATCTCTGGGTTATTAGCAACCTCATCACAAAAATGCGACGATGGTTTAATAGCTTCTTATAATATATCAAAATTTATTGCTAAATCTGGGAAAGCTCATACCATCGGAGCAGAGTTGATACTGCCGTTTGTCAAGGAAGTTTTAAAAACAGTTTTACACCATCCTGTCGCAGCCATTGTAATAAAAAAATATCCCGTAAGCAATGATACAGTGCGGCGACGAAATGATGAATTGGCTGAATGGCCTGTCGCAGCCATTGTAATTAAAAAATATCCCGTAAGCAACGATACAGTGCGGCGACGAAATGATGAATTGGCTGAAAACGTTGAAATTTCTTCACGCAAACTTTTGATATCCAACGAATTTTCCCTTCAAGTTGATAAATCAACCTTGCCAGATAATGTAGGCTTTACTGTATGCCAAGGTCCGGTTTGTAAAGGTAGGAAAAATTATTCAAGAGATGCTTTTTGCAAGAAGCTTGATTGTAGATATCAAAGGTAAATCTATCTTTAATACTTTCAAAGATTATTTTAAAGAGAAAAACATTCCTCTTGCGAATATTATGTCTATTACCACTGATAGGCTCCTGCAATGGTGGGTCGACACTGCCCTTTTGGAAAGGAAGGTACCAGATGTCTTAGCTGTTCACTGCGTGATTCACAGAAAGCATTTAGTAGGGGAAAATCTCAGCAACCGTTTGCATCAATCATTGCAATATGCCATATCTGCTGTGAACAAAATTCATTGTAATGCTCTCTACGATTGATTATTCAGACAGCTGTGAAAGAAAAACGATAAAGAATTCAATCACTTGCTACTATACACCAAAATTCGCTGGCTTTCCAAAAGCTTCTGTCTCAATAGGTATTGGAATCTTTTCGACTCAATGCTTGAGTTCCTCGAAAACAGAGATGTAGCTCTGAGAGACAGATTGCTAGAATTTAAGAAAGACTTTGACAGATTTATCTGTAAAATTTAAGGGTGATAATTTACATCTCAAGGCAGCGAGCTCAATTTGATCCCTACAAAATCAGTTATTTCTGCCTTTCTAAAAAACTCATTTCGTGGAAGCAGAATTTTGGTTGGAATGAGTTCAGCCAAGCAGGCGAAATTCACTCTGATGACGCGCGAGAATATTGTCAACACCTTGACTTTTTGCACATGAACTTTTCTGACCGTTTTAAAGATGTTTTGTCCCTAGAAGTGTCTCAATGGGTTTATGGGTTCTGAACCCTTTTGTGAATATTGAAACAGCAGAGGTTCAGATTTACAAGGAATTGGTTGAACTTTTAACTATGTAAACTTTGAAATGATGATCGTCACACAGAATTTTTGCTTAAAGGTAACATCAGTCGTCTCTATCTTAGACTGTAGACTATCATTAAACATTTTTTAATTGCCTCCCCTTCCCCCTAGCTTGTCGAACGTGGAATCAATGTTGTTACAGATCTTATCACAAAAAGGGGAAATCGACTCAAAATTGTGCAACGATGGGATTAGCGTCTTCATCTCACTAAAAGTATTGAGCCGACCTTTAAGAAATTGGTTCTGAACCATTAAGTACAATCAGCCCACTAGCATAGTTACTTGAATGTTTCGCTGATACTACTTTTTAGTGTTAAAATCATTTTGGTTGTTTTTTTAATTATCTAATTGAGAATAAATTATTATTTTAAGCATAGGTTTCTTTGTTGTATTTCTTTCATTAAACATATTTATTTTTATTATAACAAATAGACTGCGATTACCTGCCGAGAGAAAATTAGCGAGTTAATGAGCACATTATATTTTTTAAAGAGACCAAACAAATTTAAAGCGTAAAGAAATTAAGATTTTGCTTATAATTCAGCACACCTCCCTCCGTCCCCATGCTCTATAAACAACTGCATTTTCACAAGGGGGCGTTGAAATGTTTTTTGCTCCTTAAGGGGGCGGCAACGTTAAAAAGGTTGAGAATCTATGATCTAGGATATCTGATTTTAAATTTAAAAAATTTTATAATTGCGGAAAGATCAAAAAGCACATAATTACAGATATAAATTTGAGGATAACAGTATATATTGAGTTACATATGTATTAACTTTAAATTTCATTTCCTTAAAACTCAAAATTTTTTCTTCTTTTTTTACAGAATTCACACAAAGTAACAATTTTTGAACTAAATGCAGAAGCTAGAAATATCCCTGAAAAATATAATAAAAAATTCTGAATTGTTTTAAAATTACTTAATTATAAAATTAAAGACAAATGTAACAGAAGAATTTTAAAGAAAGAAATAGTCTTTCAGATACTTACTTTGTCAATAAAATACAGAGCAACAGCTCGCTGTCTGACTCTCATTTCCTTCGACTTAAAATCTCTGGTATACTCTTCTCTTATGCGATGAGCATGGGATTTAAGTTTACGAGCTGTTTCATATTTTTGCCAATCTTTTTCTCCCTAGTTAAAATAGAAATAATATTTTGAATACAAATTGGTATCATAAAAATTAATTAGAATTAACCTGTTCAGAACCAGTGAAAGGAGAAAGATGAGTTTTCCTGAGCTTGCTTGTTTAAAAACGTATGCAAGCACATGGCTGGGTGATTTTTTCTAGTTAAGACTAATTTCCTTTAAAAACTCATATAAAATAATTACTGCAATTAAATGAACTAAAATTTACAATTTATTATCATTGATTGTACCCAAATATACTGTAACAAAAAGCACACATCATTTAAAAAATGACCTAAAACATACAATATACTATCTAACAAACATTAAACTGCAAATCTACACCACGTAAGTCAATAAGCATTTTATCGTTTTTCCACTCCATCAAAACTTAAACTATTACTTAGAGTGGAGTAATTTACATGTCTAATTATCTCAAAGAATTGAACTAGAGCAGTTGTTTAAATGTTTAAATACTGAGTATAAAAAAAATAATACAAATAATTAATTGGAACTGAAAGTGCATATTGCAGGGGTGATAGTGACACAGAGTGAAAAACCCAGAGAAGTTCATATGCATAATATCAATAGCAATTTATAAACCATGCATGTTTCATATTTAACTTAACTTCTTGAACTTACATTTATAATTAAATTACCAAATAAGATAGAATATCACACCTTTAAAGTAACTAATTCAAGAAAAAACTTACTTTACCAGATTTGCAATATTGTATTTTAAAAACAAGAGAATACAAATTGCACGCAAATACGAATCGCAATGCGTAATTCTTAAATCCTGTATAAATACGAAAATTTATGTTTGATATCACAAACGTGTGATTACAAATCGCAAATATTGGATCTTAAAAATACATTATTAAGAATTGTGATATTTGGGTTTAGAAACGTGTAAATACATACGTTGATATTGGATTTTTAAATTACCTGAATAGGAATTGCGATGCACAATTTTGAAATCATGTGAATATGAAAATCGATGTTAGATATGAAAATCGAGTGAATAAGAATTGCAACATTACCAGATTCAGACGCAGTTCCACAATTCAAAATTGTAAAAATCCGCCAAATGAAAAGAATCATGTAAGAAGCGAATTTTCATGTAATTGGCAAAAGAATGTAAGTAAACATCTTGTTAACGGGTGTAGAAAATGCTTAAAAATTTTGTCGGATTATAAGTAGTATTTGATTTGTGGAAGTTTGCGAACCAATGGTCTTGAGGTATGACAGAATTCTGCAAAATTCCCCCCAAAAAATTGCAAGCCCCGCTTCTTATTTTTAGACCCGCAATTCTGAGTTTCCCCGGAATACAATTACTCCTGATATTGTAAGTTAACACCTGTAAGTTGTTGTTGTAGTTCATTTACGTCGCACTACTGCACAATGGGCTATTGGAGACGGTCTGGGAAGCATCCCTGAGGATGATCCGAAGACATGCCATCACAATTTTGATCCTCTGCAGAGGGGATGGCACCCCTGCTTCGGTAGCCCAACGACCTGCATGCGAAGTCGAGCACTTTACGGTAGCCCAGTTTAACGAGGACCAATACCGCACACCCTCGGTCCCTACGTAGACTGATCCAAGTGGGTCACTCACCCGCACACTGACCGCAGCCAGTCATGCTTGACTTCGGTGATCTGCTGGGATTAATGATCAGTCCACTGCGGGACTCAAACACCTGTAAGATATTATTTGAAATTATAACAGACTTCAATTGCCATCTCAAGTCGTTCAAAAATTGAAATAAAACATTTCGAATTGAAACCTCTTCCAGATGATTATGGCATGCGTCTTATATATGATACAGTGGGCAGTACAGGGAGTATCCTGTTAACACATATATATAAACTTGATCCGGAGCACATAAAAAAAAACATGCACACTAACCTTTAATTTTGAGCTTGGATTCAACATAATGTACTTAGTTGAGCCAAGAATATTTTCATTCCAACTAGCAAGCCAAGAGACTGTGTTGTCATGACGAACTTCTTTCCATTTATGGCCAGGAGGAGGTTCAGGAACTTTTGCTTCCCTGAAAATGGATACATTTGTCAAAAATTAACTGAATAAAAAAGACAAATAAAAAAAATTTCCTGAAAAACTCATACAAAATTTATCAAAGAAAATGTAATAAACTTACTTTCTAATTATAATATACTTACTTTCCAATATTAATTAAAATATCTTCAGCTTCTATGCGACGTTTCAGCATTCCCATTTTGGGATGTTCTCCACGGCCTCTGAAAAGACCAGGTGGTTCAATTTTAAAGTTGCCTATTTTTTGTTTGTGACCATCAATGATGCAAAAACCATATTTAGCAGTAAGTTCTTCATTTTCTTTTTTTATTGCCTACAAAAAAAAAAAATAAAAAATTCAGGTAAACAAGATATTTTGTTTAAAACATTGTTTTGTATGCAATAACAAATTTTTATTACAAGTTTTTCTTCCTTTGTCATAGCCTTCCTTTCTTCTGATTTTCGTTTGTAATAAACATTGAAGTCATTGAAGTTGCACTTAGAAAGATCTTTAAGGATCTCTTTTTCTTCAGGGGTCATCACCTACAAATAATAAAAATTAAAAAAAAAATTTTTATTAATAATTTTTTCATTTTACTAAATTTTTAATAAAAGTTTCCTTATTACTAAAGTGATAATAAATATTTAAAGAAGCGAGCTAATTTATTAGTTTTTAATTGTACTTTTTATTAGTTGCTTCATTTTCATTCTTTTAACTGTAAAACTTAAATTTGACTAAGATTAACCAGCATGATTTATCTACATCAAAAATTACTCTAAAAATGCAACACTCAGTTTTAGAATAACATAACTGGCACCATAATTGAAGGCTTAATTGTAATTACATAAATACTCTATTATAAATCAATCTTATTTTATTTTCATGATATAACTTTGAGCGTATTTAAGATAATTTTTAAAAACATGTAGGCAAAATAGTTCTTGAACCTTATTGCACCATGAGAATAAAATTTAAATTTAGTTGTGTACCCAAATTACTGTTTAGTGGCAAACATTTTACATGCATTAAGGGAAAAATAAAACAAAATTTTTTGAACATCTACAACCTCAATAGGATAGTAACAGTCAAGTTGCTTGTGGTTAAGGAAGAAAAAGCAAATATCTGAGAATGTTAACTTATCAATAGTTGATATCTGAAATTTTAACTTATTTAAAAATTGCATACGTTGAATTATCATTCACATTAGGCAATATTTTATACATTTATTAATTTCATACTTTCCAAAATTAAAATGATAAAATTAGTATAAGAGAGAGATAAAAACGGGAAATATATATTTTTTAAATAGTTAACAGATATGTTAATGCTTTAATATTGATGATAAATGTACAAATTAAAAACCTGAAAATATATAGACAAATAATTTTATCATGTTTTTCAGGTAGTAAAGAAACCAACAAATTATCAATTACAATAATAACTAAATCAATCAAAGTTAACAAACTTTGCATTTGATCAATATTTTTTACAATTAAAAAATCTGCATGTCTTAGATCAATTTTAAGATCTTATATTTACTGTAATAAATCATAGCCTTGAAATTCTTACATAAGATTCGATTAGAGTATGAAAATAATAAGCTTATTTCTTTCTTCTTTTTTTTCTTACAAAGGTTTGTTATTTATAAATAACTTATTCCAATTTATAATATAATTTCAAATGTAAGCTGTTAAAAAATAAAAAGGGGATGAAAGAACTTGACATAAATACAAAATAGATAAATTTTTAAACATGTAATACTGTATAAATTTTAAATACAAACATTCATTACACACTTGCCAATTTACATCTTACATCATCCAATAACTTTTATATTGTTTCTTTTTCTACCTTTTTTAAATATAAAAAAAAAAATCTAACATTTATTTCAAAAAATAATTAAAGAGTTATTTTAAAACTTGTATTTTATCAAAAAAGAAATTCCCACCTTCCTCCAATCCTTAAAAAAATTAGTATTAAAAACTTCTTTAGAAGTATATTCATGGTCAAGCATTCTTCCATAAAAACCGGCAACTTCTTCGGCTACTTCACTTAGAACCATGTGTTTACCTATAGAGAAAAATATTAATATAAATTAGTCTATATATGCAGTATGCACAACATATATATTCACTAAGCATAATAATAATAAATAATATTACAGAAGAAAAAAACTTCCATATCCTATATTTTTATAGTCTGTTTAGTTATGCTGATAGTTGGTATTAAAAAATTTTTTTAGATCTGAAAAATACACTTGCCATCGTAATAAAACTTCACATTTTTTGGAACTCTTTCATATGGAGGAGCAAACACTGGTCCCATATGTGATAATGTTTTCCACTTAATTCCATCCTCCAGCTTTTCTTCTTCCCACCTTAAAAACAAAAACATAGGCAAAAATTTAAATTTAACAACATTGATATGCATAAAAGCAATCAGAACATTAATAAGAATTTCATCTTTATATGAATAATAACAACCCATTGTAGGTCAAAGAGTCATGGGGGTTAAGGTTCCATATTTTTGTAACTAATGGCATGATTGCTGTAATGTTTCCAGCATTGCACATGAGCTGCCTATCTTCTCAGGCAAGCTCAGGTAGAAGGGGAAAATTGTGTACTTCCCTTTCACCCAAGAATTTACTCATTGCAGCTTTATGAAAATTGTGTTGCTACTAATTTCCTTACCATTTCATATTTGATAGCATTATAAATTACATATATCAGATATCCCCAGATTTTCATTTCAGTAGTGGAAAAGGACAAAATATCAAACTTTGGCACCCTCTACAAATTGGAATAAAAATTAAATTTTTTGCCTGTTAGCAAATAAAATAATAAGTTTCAAAATTAATGCATGCAACAAGTGGTTTAAAACAAAACTAATACTAGACATGATTTTGTTCAATATTTTTTTTTTCATTATTGGTACCCTACTTGTATTTTGTAATCCAGTGACAGGAGAGGGATGAATAAGGCTCTTTTTCTAAATTTAGATCAGATCCAGAGACTCCCACTTAGTTGACTTTGAACTATCCATCAGAAAAAAAAAAAAAAAAAAATGCAAAAGGAGGGGGAAGCTAAAAATTTCTATAATTTTGCTTGAAGTTTCTTTCTTTCTTTTCATGCTTTTTTTGTGGGAAAGATTATTACTATTTTGAAAATTACTCAGAGAAAATCAAAAACTTTTCAAGGACCCTACTTTAGTTTTAATGAATCAGGGATAAGATTGGCCAAAAGGCAAAAAAGCTAAATTTTCACGCTAGTAAATCTAACATGATTTATAGCAAAACTATCAGTAACATACTCTCATCCAGTTTTGCTGATGTTGTAATGCCTAGATATAGCAAGAATCATCGATAGAAAAACTGCCGCATTTATAGTATAACTAATTCAAGAAAAAAAACTTACCTTTTACAAGAATCGCGATCTTGGATTTTAAAATTGCATGAATACAAATAGCGATTTTGGATTTCAAATCGTTTGTTGGATTTTAAATCGAATTGTTACATAGAATTTTAAAAATGCCTCAATACAAATCGAGATATTGGATAGTAAATAAGTACTGCAGTAAGTCTCGTAAATAAGAACAGCAATGAACGATATTGAAATTGCGAGAATAAAAATCAGGTAAATACGAGCTATCTAGGGGACGGGTAAAAATGAGAAAAATCTTATTTTCTGCTCTTAAAAGCTAATAGCTGAAATAAGTAGTATGCGGAAGGGTTGGCAGTTACGTAGTTTGAATTTTCTATACATCTGTGGATATATTATAATCAAATTGGAAATAGATATAATCATTTTATTTCAACGGGTGAGTTTTCAGAAAAAGCGGAATATATATACAGTGGAGCATTGTTTATACGACGCCGAAGAGACCACCGAAAAACGTCGTCTAATCGATTTTTACTTCTAAAACTGAAACTAACTCTGTTTTCAGTTAATTTTAATGTTTAACGTGTTGATTTACATAAATTTCTAAATTAGACAAAACAAAACAAACAAATGATCAAAGAAGACAAATTGCAGCGAGCAATTTGAAAGTATGTTACCTTTAATTATATTTTCTTGCTATTAGTCTCTACAATGCTTTGAACAGCGAGTTGAACTTACTGCTTTCTATGATGCAATTTTAAATTTCTAATCATGGCCAAATCTAATGGCTGAAGCGCACTTGTGCAATTTGCAGGAAAAAAGAGAGCTTTTACATTTTCCAAAATAATTAGTATCGATGGGTGCGCTGGACATTGGTCGATGAATAGCAAAATTTTTCGTTTTTGCCTCTTCATAACATTGTCTAGTTTTTTCAGTCATCTAGTAACAATTACGGTCGTCATCCAAGCAGTCAAGTTGGCAAATTCCGCCCTTTTTTAAAATACACAAGAAAAAATAAAAAATTAAATAAACGTGAACAAAATCTAAAAACCGACGTATAACCGATTCTGTGCGTCGTAAAAACGATATATTTTTACATTAAAATGAATAGGAATGATTTGGGACCAAACTAAAACGTCGTATAAGTGATCGCCGTATAAACGATGCTCCACTGTAGCGAAGAAGCGAAAAAGGCGGAAATCCGCTAAAAAGTGGATAAATCTCATCCCCGATGAATTAATAACCAGAATACAAATAAACCATTAAACAAACATAAATAAGAGGAACATATAAATAGTGACAAATTTTGTAATGCATGCGAAAATCCGGTATTGTACACAATAGAAAAAAATTTCTCGGCACTGCCTTGTTTATATCATTATACATTAACTAATAAAAAACAAATATCTAATTAACAGTAAATTTAAAAAATTGATGAGAAGATTGAAAACTTATTTAGAGTTTACCATTTCCACACATCTTGTTCCTCTTCTTTTTTCCCTTTCTTTTTGGGACTAAATGTTTCAGGCTCTACTTTAACTTTAGCTTTGCCTTTAACTGGTTTTTCAACTTTTTCTTTCTTGACTTTCTTCACAGGCTATATTTTTAAATAAATATATTATAATTTTATTTGCTGCAGTAAAACTTATTTGGAAAAAATAAAAACTTACATTAAAATCAAAGAATATTTTTAATGTTACAAAGAAATAAAAAATAAAAAAATCAGTTGTGTAGAGTTCTTTCACACGGGTTCCAAAAGAGTGTTAGAATGTTGAAGGAAGGAAATAAAATAAAGAAAGGTGATTTTAGGTTGGCCTTTCCAACTCATAATTTGAAGTAGTAGAATGCCTTTTAATAATTTAAGCCTGCCTTTGATTTTTTAATTTACATGCATGGAGTTCTATTTTTAAACTTAATTCTCTTGATTTTGTAATAAATTAATCATATACAGTAGGGAACCGATTATCCGGAACGATCGGGACCATCACTATTCCGGATAACTGATTTTTCCGGTTTTCTGAATCGCTACAAAAAGCCGTTTTTTTTATTGTTAAACCCAACTAAAAAAATTTTTTTTTAGGAAATAATCTTGAAAAGAAGAAAAAACGATGAAGTAATACACTAATGATTATTTCCAAAATGATGGTAAGGTGAACATCTTTCAAAAAAGAAAGAAAAATCCTAAAATCTTATAAGGAAAAAAAAAATTTGTTAAAAAAATGGCGGGAAAATTTATCGAATTTCGTTCCGGTTTTCTGGTTTTCCGGTTTTCTGATTTCCGGATAACGGGTTCTGTACTGTATTTGCACAAATATATTTTTTTGGAGTCACAATTTAAAATCTACGTAATTTAACATAACATACTGCATTATGATTCACGTTACTTTGAATTAAGAATTACAAATCTGAACTTAAACCTTAAACTCATAATGTAAATGTCACAAGGTAGCAAAAAACAATCAGAAAAATTCCTGATTTTTCCAGGCTAATTTCAATTATTAATTTTTCAGTTATGCTGTATTCTTAAACATAAAATATATCACAAAATAATTATACTTGCCACTTGAGTGAAAAATTAACATTAATATATATATATATATATATATATATATATACAGGGGTGATTGTAAGCCCAAGTCAAAATTTCGGAAAATTTCTTGAGTAAATAAAAAAGAAGTTTAAATCGAAAAATTAGAAAAAAATTTAAACAAGGTTTTTCCCTTTTTCTCAATATTTCTCAGTTTATTTAAAATATATTTAAAATTTTACACAAACCTATGATGACCTGGAGAAGTAATTGAAATGTATAAATATCTATTTCTTTTTTTGAGTTTATGATAATAACTATTTACTGATAAAAAAAATATTAATCTTAAATATAAGCTTATAAAGTATCTGGCTCTCCCTTGCAAACAAATAAAATAAACTGCGTTTTTAAGTTCCACCTTTGAAAATTTGGTTTCCGGAAACTTATGTGATCAATGATTTTTTGAAACGCCTGAATCGATCTCCGGAAACTTCCGGATCAGGGTTAGCGAAAAATCCGGATGTCCGGATTTTTTCCGGAGCACAATCAGACCTGTATATATATAAATATATATGTAAAGAAAAATATTGGCCTTATATAGGTATATGGATATAATTTCTTAAATAGGTTTAATATAGGCACCCCAAACATAAATTTATTCATTTTCACTGACTTTATAGGTATTTCAGTTTAATTCCATGATTTTTAAAGATAAAATTTTCTTGTTTTTCTTTGCTCAATCATACCACTGCTATTTTTTTAACAAGAAATTGTTTGACCACTGTGTTATGCCTATTTATATAATTGCTGAGCCATACATCTGAAATACTGTCCTTGAGAACTCGTAGGACATAAGATATTGATCATATATTAAAAATGGCATTAAATCGTTTTTGTGAACATAAATTACTTCTACTAAGTTAGAATAAAATATTTTTTTTATTTTAAACTGGGAGGGTAAAAAAAGAAATGCGTCATTGAATGAAACACTGTATAACGTATCGTATCTGACATTACAAAACAATCTGCTTAGAATATCTTTTAAAAATTAAAGAAATCTTTGAGTAATAAGATGCCCAACAAATTAGTTGATATAACAAATCCTTTTCTCTACTTTTGAAGGTTACAATAAGCCTCACAAGCAATATGAAACTCCGAAAATTAAAAATAATTAATATAAAGGTTTTAAAAAATACTTAGTATTACGTTTAAAATATTATCTGCTTAATTAATATCTAAAAAATATGCAACACAAAATTGATAGTTAAGTATATTGCATAAAATATTTGTCAATGAAATAATCGAAATAAAAATATTTAATAAATAGAATTATAAAAACTGTTGCTTATTTTTTTATTTAAAACTCAAACAATTATATTACTTTTTTTGAACCATAGTCCTCATCATCCTCGTCATCACTATCAGCTTTTCTTTTCTTTTCAGCTTTCACTTTTTTCTTTGGCTTGGGCTTCTCATCTTCTGATTCATCTAGTTCTCTTTTTATTGAATTGCTCATTTCAATATGCTGAGACTAAATTAAATATTTCAATACATGTATTTTATACTAAATTAAATACTTCTTAAATATAAAGTTTTCAAAAGTTCGAGATAGGATCGATTATGTCCACTTCGAATTATCAAGACTTTACTTGTACACATACTTTATTCTAGTTCCGTTTAGTAAATAAATTTAATACGAAATTTTTTTTGTATGTATTATTGTACACATTTATTTTCTAACAACAGAAAAAGTACCTAGTTTTTCAACTACTTAATTCATTTTACAATTAGCTACAAAAAAATACTAACAACAGAAATACTACCTAGTTTTTCAACAACTTAATTCATTTTACAATTAGCTACAAAAAAATAAAGTTTTTTTAAAATTGCCATCTTAATATTCATACATTAAACTTTATACTATTTATTTAACTATACACATATTTAAACCAACATCATATGATCATATGTAGAAACAAGTAAAAAGAATTTCACAATTTTTGCATTAATTTTGTTAAGATTATCTTGGCTAAAATTTTGTTTCAGCAAAAAACTAGAAATGCGGCAAATTTATAAAAATTTTTTTTAATTCATCTATTACTAAAATACCAATGATATCTATTACCTTAATTTTACACATTTTAACCAATAACAGTCTTGATTTTTTATAGAAGAAATGGAAAAATAACATTTCTTGACTTAATGTCAAGTATATATAATAATATATATTTTAATAGACGCCCGGTGGCTGAGCGGTAGCGCTTCGCGCTGTCGTGCCACAGGTCCCTGGTTCGATCCTCGGGCCGGGCAAGGTTCACTCAGCCTTTCATCCCTTCAGTGGGTCGATAAAGTGAGTACCAAGCATGCTTGGGAACTAACACTGGGGGTTCCGCGTTCGGCTGACCACCTGACCGGAACATATGCTCCTGCACCCCAGAGCCCAAGGTCAAGAAAACTGAGATGGGCACAGTCGGCCTTGGCCCTCTTAATGGGCTGTCGCGCCACTGAGTTAGTTAGTTAGTTATATATTTTAATATCCTAACATAACAGGGTTGCCACTGAAATCTGGAGAGAGAAAAAATTCACATAGTTTTAATTGTTGGAAAAACTTAAATAAAGAACAGCTTAACAAACTTAAAACAAATAATGTTATAGTAAATGAAATAGTTTATCTAACAGATTGTGCTTAGAGTGGTTACCACTTTTTCAAAGACGAAAATAAATAAAATTCCTCACATTTTCCCAGTTTGTAAGGAAAAACTCAAAATTCCCTGCATTTTCCCTGTTATTTAAAGTGATTTTAAAATTTCTTATATTTTTCCGGTATTTTCTGTTCTGCCTGTGGAGTGACAATCCTGCATGCACATTTAATCTTAAGACTCACAAAACAATCATTAAACTTAGATCATAAGTCCCAGGTTTTTATCGCCCTTTTGAGTGTTAAAGCTCATTTCTAGTTCCAATGTATATTCAGTTGAAAAGTGTTTATTATAATATCCATCATCACAAAAAAGAGAAATTTTTTCACAATTATGCACTGCAAAAACAATATGGAAAAGACTATAACACAAGCGATGTGCTACATAATAACAAGTAGAAACTCATGAAAGTATTTAATACTTTATTTACATCAACAAATTTAATAGGATGCAAATTGCAGTTTTTTGTCAATTAAGTGCTATCAAAACACATAAAATTATAAAACAAAATTTCAAACTATATGACAGAAAAATCTTATTCTTATAACTTGGTCATACTTTTGCCTACCTTCTTATAAAAGTACAAAACAATAATGTTTTGAAAAAATTTTTTCAAAAATATATTAAAAATATCATGTAAAAAAAAGTTTAAATGTATCACAAATAAATAATTTACACATTAACACACTTTACTTTTTACATTTGAAGTTTTAAAAAAAAAAATAAATAAACTGGCTAAAGTCCAGAGTCACCTTAAAATAAAAATTTCATAAAAAAATAATAAAAATAATTTCGAACTGAAAATTTAAAAAATAGCTAATTCATAGAACTACTTTTTTGAATTTTTTTAAAGCTAACAACAATGTACCGTGTTCGATAATGAATTAGAAATTAACAAATAAATCTATATATTTAATTTATCATGAAAATTTAGTTTAATATCTTAAACATGCTTGTTTATATGTTCATTGAAATCGATTTGACTCATACAAGAAAGCCACAAGGGTGAAAGAACTATGTTTTGTAGCCATTGTAGCTACCATTTAACTAAAATAGAATGCTTCAAAGCTAAGATTGAAAACTTCAAATAATTAATTTCATTAAGACTATTATAATTTACAAAGACGTATAATTTTACTTTAAGAATAATATGATTTTAAAACCAACAAAAAATAGATCCTACTTACAACATAAGTTATTCAAGTCAGATAGATAGCCACATAAATAAGAATAAAAATTGAATATTGATTATAACTTGCTTCTTAAATATAATGCAGAAATTTAATTTAAAAACCTTTTTAAGGTCTACAAAGTAGATAAAATGGTTTAAAATTAAGACCTAATTTTCTCTCCTAAATTTATTCTAATTTTTAGGAAAAGTTTAACAAGAGAATTCAGGTCACAAAATAAGACCAACGTAATAACACCTAAGGTTTAAAAAAATTATTAGCTGATATGACAATTTTACCAGTGAACTCTCGCAATGAAACAGTAAAAATATTATTTAAATTAGTCATTATTAAATTTTTTTTTATAATTTTTATCATGACAATTTTAATTTATTACGTGGAAATAAAAATAATTTTTTAGTAAATATCTTTTATATCATATTTGTTCAACTTAAGTTATTATTATAACTTGATGCATGAATGCATCACTAATTAACTAAACAACTAATCAACTCAGTGTTTTCATCATAGAAAAAAATGGGTGAGAATTTCTCACCCTTTCTCAAAAACAGGGTGAGATTTCAGAAAGTTAAGTGAGATTTTTAAAAACACAAATAGCACAACTAGACTTGGAAAAACACAAATAGACTTGGAAAAAAAATCATTTCTTTTATTATAATGCATTTTTAACGTCTTCTATTTTTTAAAGCATTGAATATTCTTGGTGCATCATCATAGAAGATTTTGCCTTTACTAGGTATTTGTCCATCTTACATTAGTGCATAAAAAATTTGAACGTCTTACATGAAAAAACCTTACCTACGGTAAACACGTGGTTGCAGAGAAATGTGTTCTGAAAGGGGTTCCGTGGTTCGGAGGGGTTGTGTTCTGTTGTTCGAAAAGGTTCTGAACAATACTGGTAAATAGGGAAGCTAGATAACGGAGCAAATGTTGAAAATAATGAAAGATCCAGGAAGAAAAGTGAAACGGATTTTATTCTAAATAGCATAATTCGAAGCTTCTTCCAAAATGCGAGAAATTCGCGAATTTTGAAATTGATTTATAGAATGCGCGAATTTCTCGCAGTAATAATTTTTTAATGCGAGAAAAGAAAAAATATGGGAGATTCTCGCGCTGTAGTGAACACTGCAACTTCATAAAAAAATGCATATGATAATCTGAATCAATCAATTAAACTTCTGAAATAATTATTAAATATCACCCAATCAAGCTGATTAAAGAAAAAAAAGAATGAGGAAACAAAACTTACTAAAGGCATTTCATCTTCACTCATAGGCTCTTCTTTCACTTTACTTTTGGAAACGGAATTATTAGATGGACTACCTACAACAGAATCTTCAGTTTTCACTTTAACAGCTTTATCTTTGTGTTTTTCACCATGTTTGTGCTTTTCACTGTCTTTATGTTTCTCACTTTCCTTATTCTTCTCACTCTTATGCTTATCACTATGCTTCTCTTTGCTTTTTTCACCATGCTTATCTTTATGTTTCTCTTTGCTTTTTTCACTGTGTTTTTCTTTGTGATCACTATGTTTTTCTTTTACCTTTTCTTTTGCTTCACTCTCATTTGATTTAGAGCTACTCTTATCCTTATGGGATTTGTCCTTGTGCTTATCTTTATGTTTATCTTTTGATTCTTTGTGTTTGGACTCCTTTGAACCATTCTTAATTTTTTCATTTTCTTTAAAATTATCAGATTTTGGCTTTTCACTCGAACTACTGCTATGCTCTTTTTTAACAGAGTCAGATTTCACCTTGTCTTCTTTTTTTGCCGAGCTATGGTTAGACGATTCAGAATGCTTGCTACTGCCATCTTTGGTTTTAGAATGTTCTTTATGAGAATGCTCTTTATGTTTTTTCTCTTTGTGATGTTCTTTTGAGTCGTGCTTGGAACTGTCTTTGGAAGATTCTTTGGATTTTGATGATGAATGATCACTTTCTTTCTTTTTGACGTGATCGGAACTATGTTTGTGATGATCGGAGTTTTTGCTGGAGTCGTGATGCTGTTTTTTTACAACCTCTTGCCCTTCTACCTTTGGTTTGTGATTGGGAACACTGCTATAGCCATTAGGAGTAGGGTTCATTGTTTTTAGTGTATCACCTAGAATAAGAAATATAAAAAAAAGAATTTAAAACAAAGTGAACTTAACAAAAATATAGTCACAGAAATTTATTATTTTTGTTGATCATAACTACCGTGCTATGAGGCAGATACGTAAATAAATTGTAAATTTATGACAAAAATTTCTTATCCTAGTGCAATTTTACCAATTAATTAATAAGAAGGAAGAAAACCTCTGACCATATTTAAAACAAAAATGAAGTCTATTCTCAGTATACAAGACCACCTAAATAAAATATGTAGGATAACTTGACTTAAGGAAAGTTACTTAAGTATTACTAACCTACTTGCACGGAATACATCCGATAATTAATTTAACCTAACAGCATTAGCAATTTTAACACTTGATTCTTTCTTAATATGGATAATGGAATTTTTATTAGCATAATATAAAAATAGAATTTTTATTAGCACTATAATCTTAACAGATAAAAATCAATTCCTTAATTTACATTAATCTCTGTTAAAATACTAAGAAAGATACTAACATGTAAACTTAATGCAAAATCAATTCACCCTGTTTCTCTAAGCTCTAATTTAATTATAAAAATTTTTGATAACTGATTAAGTTTACTTCAAAAACACCTTTACAACACATACACTTTTTTGAAAACATCTTTTATCAGAAAAGAAAAGTATTCAGCTGTGCATGGAAATTTTATTCTTTCGACAGTAAAGACAAACAGAAGAGTAAAAATATCTGGTGCTCATATGTCTTGATATATATCTCCAGTTCAGTTACAGGCTTACAATGCAACATCAGTTGAATGATTCCATCTTTATGACTAAATGCTATAAAACCAGTGTTCAACAACTTTGAACTTTAAAAAAAAAAATGGATTTATGAACCAGAAATTTTGTAAAAGGGTACTTAAAAAATGAAGAAAAAAAAAGGGGGGTTTCAAAAGTTTTCTTTTTTAGCAAGAAAAATATCCGTATATAGCATAGCTGCCAATCTCTCAGAGGATGATTTTTTTTTTATTAAATGGAAAATTGAATCACAATGACAGGGCTCCAAACTTATCTCAACCAAAGTAAAGGGAAAATGTGGACCAGTTGTAGTCAAACTTATTTTGGGAGATCATTCATAATTAGGTACCACAATAAAATAGTTAAGAGTTCTTTATATAAACATTAAAAAATCAGTTAAACAGAATTCATTTAAATGCAGGATCTTACTAACAGAAGAAAAATTTTTAATAATAAGTTTCTTAACTTAGTATAATTTATTTTTAAGGCAATGATTTTTTAAACTTCTCTTTTAATTGATATTTTATTAAAACAAATCTAAAAATTTGCCAAAATTTAAAAGATTTAATAGATAAAAATTAAATAAACCTGATCCCTAGGAAAGTTCTCAAAATTAGTTTAATATTGCAGGTATTAAGACGTATTTAGTACAGAAATTGTATAATAATAATCAAAAAATAGGGGAGAAAAATTTATTAGAGGAACTTTAATTAATTATAAGATAACAGGTAAAATGAATATGGTACTAATTTATAAATACAACTCAGTGTACTAATGTGAATATCAATGGTTTTTAAAACAATGCGAAGAGAGAAATCCATCAAAAAGATGTAAAACACCAAAACATTAAGAGGGTGACTAAAATGGACTTTGAAGGGACAAAAAAACAATTTAGTAACCTTGCAATTAACACAAATATCTGTTTTATTAGGCTCAGAGTTAAAAATTAACGATGCATAATTATCATGCACTTTTATAAATATTAATTCATTTACACATAGTGAGTGAGGATTAAAATCATTTTAAAAATTAAATTTAGAAAACCAAAGAAAAAAAAGGAAACCCAAAGTTGGCAGCAATGTATATTATCTACTGATATTCAAATATCACTAGATAATAAAAGTAATTGATGAAATCTAATAAAAGTAATGTATGAACATTGGACTTGCAACTAATCCAGATTTGGAGAAACTTAATAATGCCAAAAACTATACTTTTGTATTAAAGTTATTCAAATTTTCAAGAAAAGAAATACAGAGGCACATAAAAATTAAGTTATATTAAACCTAAGTTAAATTTCAAATTTGACTTTAAATTATTGTAGATTTAGTAAGAATCCAGATTTTTTTTCTTTTTTTAAATTGGGCAATAAATAATAAATCATCTACTTGGTTCTCAGTTGAGGAGTTAAAAAAATATGTTATATCTAATTTAAGACTAGCACAAGTTTTATTTAATTCTGCAACTGATTCACTTATTACTTATAATTTGATTTTTTCATCTTCACCTCCATCTTTCTTTTCATCAGTTAACTTCAAATTTTCTAAGTACAGTAGGGAACCGATTATCCGGAACGATCGGGATCATCGTTATTCCGAATAACTGATTTTTCTGGTTTTCTGAATCACTACAAAAAGCCGTTTTCTTATTGTTAAACCCAACTAAAAAAAATATATTTGGAAAAAATATTAAAAAGAAGAAAAAACAATGAAATAATACGCTAATGATTATTTCCAGAATGATGGTAAGGTAAACATCTTTCAAAAAGAAAGAAAAATCCTAAAATCTTATGAGGAAAAAATTTTTTTTTAAAAAAATGGCAGGAAAATGTATGGAATTTCGCTCCGGTTTTCTGATTCCCGGATAACGGGTTCTGTACTGTACTAGTTCCTTTAGCTTAGCTTTTACACTAGTTCCTTTAGTACTGTACTAGTTCCTTAGTAATCATCAAATCATCAGATACTAACAAAATTGTTTTCTTTTAAAATAGGGGCTTAAAGGTTTAATTATAATTTTTTTTTAATTTCGGAAAAGACATAAAAGGCCTTTAATTCTTTCCTTCAGTAAAGCTTTTTCTGTCATGGTAGTTTTAAAAGATATCAAAACATTGCCAAAGTAGAAAAATTCCATGAATTCTCAATCAATTGTACCACTGTCATGACAAGGCTAAAATTGCCTTTACTACTTAACCAACATCAGTAAGCTTAAATTCATTAGTTGTATTTCTGACAGAATAATTTCTGACCAACAGTAGTCAATAGAACAACCTTCTTGTTTTCTAATTGCCTCAAATTTCAAAAATTTTAAAACTTCTTAATGGTAGCAAATGTCAGCAATCAAAGGTTCCCAATAATCTCATTTTTACTGATTTCATAAACTTATACATAAATTTAAAAAAATATGATAAATTGGAAATTATTACAAAAGGAATTATTATAGAAAAACAAAAGTTTTTCGTCCTTATTTGTTTCACAGCTCAGAGTGTACAACCGAAAATAAGAAAAGACATGTAACATTCCTGCAGTGCTTCTGGGTAACCTCAAACAAGGTAAGCATGCGTTCACAAAATTCAGCTGTTGCATTGTTAAATTTCATAATACCTTTCCACCAGGTAATTTGATCTATATTCTTGTTGACATAGCGCCTGAAAAAACTTTTAGGATAAGACTTACTTTCAGTTCAAAAAAGATATAAGGTAAGAATTCAGGATTTTTATTGGATTTAGGATTTTATTATTTTTTAACTATTTCTATCAGATTTCTGACCCTTTCTTTTCTCTCTGCTTGAAGTTTTTCTCCTTTATACTAAGAACAGGGCTCGTGATTTTTTTGATTTTTATTCAAATACACTGTAAGAACTTTAATTTATGATTTTAAAAAAATATAAAAGTTTTATCAAATTAACTTAATATTAAAACTATATTGTAACAAATATTTTAGAAGCTCTAACTAAAATAATTTTTCATTATAATACATGACTTTGCATAGCAACCATTTTGAAACAAATGCATGATTAAAATTTAAAGACTAGATGAAATAGAGAATTTAAAGAGGTCTGTCTGGGTTTTTCTGAGAGGTACCTATTTTGTGAAAATTAAAAATTATATTAAAAAATCAACACTAATATAGTAAAAATATGGATTTATCGTTTCTTACGACACAAAAATAAAATTTTAAGAAAAAGTATTTTGTGTGATTATTCTATCAGTTTTCCTAAAGTTGAATTTGTAAAGGTACCGTTAAACGGTAGTAAATTTGGCTTCGACAGACCACTGTACTTTAAATATTAAAACAAAGTTTCAGTTAGCATTAGCAAATCATAACTTTAAGTTAAAATTGTGATTTCTTTTTTTTTTTTTCTCTTGATTTTTAAAATGACAAAATAAATGTAGCAGACTGTGTTTATAAATGTAGTCATTCATCAAAAAATAAATATTTTATCTATAAATTTTTATATTAAAATATTCCTTTTTAATTCTATATCAAAATAGATAAGTCAAGCTAAAAAAAAAGGGGTAATTCACGATCACTCTGTTTCTGGGGTAAATAATGATCACCTAAGTTATATTTTAAAAAAAAATTTTTTTTTTATATTTGAGACATGGACAAAGAATGCTTGTACACTTTACTAAAGTATAAGTACATTTACTTAATAATAGCTTTTTGTTTTATCTAACAAAATAAGTATCTTTTAAACTGCTTTCTGTATTTACAATTTCAAAGATGGGTTTCAAAATGTGCACATTTCTGCAAAGATCCCCTTCCTTCTCTTAATAATAAATATTTTGAGTTACTTTATATTTCTTTGATATAAAAATAGTGTAAGCTTTTGTTTAATTGTTTCACATCTACTGTAAACATTATAATTGATTATAGAAAACTGTATCAAATGTTGCCCCCTACAGATGGGGTAATTATTGATCNGTCCATGTGGTAGTTTCAATTCTTTTCTTAAATAACAGTTCATATTTATTAAGTGGAACAACTATAAAATATATTTTAACTGTCATCACAAAATTTGTTTTTAAAGGTATACAAGACTGTATTCTGATTTGCACCATTTCTGGTTTGTCATACTTATCTATCTTCTATCTTAATTTTATGTGTGTACATTGTTAGAATAATTTTTAAGTTTATAAATTAGCTTAGTATAATATGGTGAGAAATTATTAGCCTAAAAAGGATACTAAGCTTCTAGAAAGCAAAATTAGTGAATTTCTTTTAATGATTGAAAATGAAAATTTCAACGTGAGAGCTGCTGCCAGAGCTGTTGAGTTGACATACCTTCTTACTTTACTTTACACTTTCACTTAATGAAGTTAAAAAATCCAGCAAAAGTAACCCATGTGGGAACTCTCTTATATTTCAGAAGAACATGAGAATGAGTTGGCTGATTGCCTAAAATGTATGGCACGATGCAAAGATTTTTGAAAATTTAAAGTGTTAATCGTTCTTCTTGCTTTTAAATAAATCATTTTATTAGCTGCTTAAACATATCTTTTTGGTTTATTTGTTTGATCTTGATGTCTTATTTGTTAATTACCATTATATAATTATTTTTAAACAGCCCCTTTACAATAAAAACTGGTGATCAGTAATTACCCCAGAAGTGATCAGGAATTACCCCAGAAATGATCAAGACCAGGGGTAATTCCCGATCACTAAAAATTTAAAATCTTTTAAATTCTAATCAGATTTTCAAACAAAAGAAGGTGGCATAGGACTCATCTCATATAGCCTCAAACTTCCTGTAAATATTAAAATTCTATCTTGAATAGTTTTTTCCCAAAATAGATGTTTGCATTTTTTGATCAGGAATTACCCCAGGTCACCCTACTGATTAGAATTTTTTTTCACAAAATTTCTTTATAAAAAATCAGATAATGTGAAAGATACTGTAAACATATTATGAGAAAAAAATACCAGTTAATAACCCTGCTGCATCAAATAGACTTTGAAAGAGTTTGAAAGGGAAGAATGACATTATACTAGGAAAAAAACACCTGAATTCATCAATCCTTTTTTTTTCCTTTTCTGTTTTTGGCATATTAGGGTAATTTCTTTTTAATATAACCTCAAGCTTCAGAAATATACATTTTCCACCAATAAAATATGATGTAAATTTTAATTCACGCTTTTTCATTCAAAAGGTAGAATTTTAATTAACATTATTTGTATTATTTTTTGAAAAAAATTCATATTTATTAATTACTTTCTACAGCTATGCAAGTCTATATTAAGACAGCATTAAATGTTTACTTTAATCTGTACTTTCAATCTCAAGAATCAAAAGATTTTTAAAAATGTAATTTCAAATGTGTTGGAATTTAACACACACTAAGAAAGTAATTTCGCGAACTAAAATTAATTAATGCAGCAATTTATTTAAATAAACTTTTAATACTAAGAAAAGAAAATAATAAAAGAATCAAAAACTTAAAACACTATTTTTTAACTTTTAAAATCAATATATATAGATAAAAATTTGTTGATTTAAATCAACGAACCCTGCTTAAGATACATTCGATATGCAATCATGTGCAAAGGGATTAATATTAATTGAAAAAAAAAACTTATAAAAATAATAAAAAAATTATTTAAACTACATTCTTTTGGAAAACTTTATACACTCCAGTAATATAAATTTTAAAAAATTTGAACAATAATCTTTTGTTCATCTAAAGACAATGCAAAATTAAGAATTATTATTTTTTCTTTTTTTTTACATTCAGTGTTATTACTGTAGCTGAGATCTCTTTTTTAAATTTAAACCAAATAAATAATATTTAAATTAAAACCAAATAGTAAATTTTTTTTTTCTTTGATTGTTTTTGAAAATAACCTATATACACGAGAATTTTTAAAATCACAAACTTATTAATCTTTAAAGTGCTGAAAGCTCAGATATAATTAAAAATTCCATTTACAAAACAGGAAAAAAATCCAGATTGATTGTGCTGAAATTTAGATACGTATTTTAGAGTAGTGGTGTACAACCGAAACATCTTTATACGAAATGTGTAGCCTCTACCTTCCAAACAAAATATAATTTCGACAATAATAAATAACAAAATTAAGAGTATAAGATATAGCATACTGTTTGTAAATCTTCTAGCAAAATATTTAAAAATAAACATAATATAAATGTAACTTTAAAATAATGAGAGATTAATAAAAGATAAAAATTTTGAGCAATTTTGAATTTTTAAAAAAAATTTTTTTTTAAACTATAACATGTTGAAAAAAAAAAGGAATAAAATGCTATGTATAATAAATAAAAAAATTAAGAGTATAAGAAATAGCATACTGTTTGTAAATCTTCTAGCAAAATATTTAAAAATAAACATAATATAAATGTAACTTTAAAATAATGAGAGATTAATGAAAGATAAAAATTTTGAGCAATTTTGAATTTTTTTAAAAAAAAAATTTTTAAACTACAACATGTTGAAAAAAAAAAAGGAATAAAATGCTATGTATAATAAAGCTATTATAATTTATAAATATCTAAAAATAAGTTTTCCACAAAAAAAATTAGTAAGTTAGATTTCATCAAAGACAGTGCCTATCATCATCCTTTTATTTTAATTTATTTTTGCATATTATGCAATTATTTTCTTTACTATGTCCTTTACTACTTATGACAAATGAATAGGTTCATGTTAAAAAATAATTTACTATTAAATATTAAAATTAAACTTATTCTAGCCTCAAAAAGTTCATTTCTTTCAACTTTAAAAAAAAAATTAAACACTTCAACTTAGAACCGTTTTAGCTATACCTATAACAGCACAATTTTTTTTACAGAATATCAATAGATAATACAGGGTTTTGAGAAAAATATAAGTAAACAGTTTACAACAGAGCATTGTATACAGTTAACAACAAAATGCAGAAATCTGAAGAGCCGAAAATTCATTTCAATCTAAATTTATTTTTAAAATGTAACTACATATTCAAATTTTTGAATAAATTATCAAAATTATATACCTTATGCACAATTTTTCAGGAAAAATTTAGAATTTGTTAATACCTTATAAATATGTAATAAAAACGTTCCATTGTTGATAAATTTTCTGATAACGCATTATTTCCCATTAACAATACAATAATAAAACTATTTTTAAGATGTTTATCAAGTTTGCATTAAAATTATAAAAGTAAAAACACTTCTAGCAATAAAATCAATGCTATCACACTATTCAAATGCATTATTTTATCTTATTCATATTACGGGAAAAAAATTAGATGAAGTACTAAAAGTTAATTGACACGTTTTAAGTTGTAACAATTATGTAACAGAATAAATATAGTTAAATTAGCAATCGATTTTTATACATCAACGAAAGCTTTATCAATTAAATTGTAAGCAGATTTTTACTGAATATATCTTTGGGAGAAAAATTAATAAGAAATAGCCGACTTACCGCATGGACGAGCTGAAATATCGTTGGGCACAGACGAAACCGGTGTCGTTGGACTCTGAAAACAATTGATTAAATATAAATTTACCACATAAAATTTTACTTCAAATATAAAAATTTTTGAATTTAAAGCAAAAGAAAACAATCAGTTAAATATTTTCTAAAAATCGATAACTATAATATGAAAAACGTGCAATGTTAATGATCGCTCTTAACACTTATCCCTTTATGAAGCAGTACGTGGGACTTAGAAAATTTTCGACGCCATTTGCCGCATACTTTACAATGAGACAGTAACAAAAATCAGCGTATATCCCGACTGTTTCACAATTTTTACCAATTACTAACAAATATTAATCAAGTTTTTACCTGGCTAGATGAATAGAAATCGCTTCCAACTTCATTCATTTTTTATAAATCTTAACTAATAAATGAATTCAACAGTGAACAATGCAATTTATGTTAGCGTGAGACTAAGTCCAAAAGAAACATTAATGCTCATGCGCGTGACGTCAAAACCCCGGACGTAGACTGGATTGAGCAAGTATTTCTTTCCCCTGGCTCAGCTGGAAAACAATATGAATAAAAAATAACAATTTTTATACTTAAGTTGGGACGTAAGTAAAAAGAAAGGGTTTTTTGGAAAATTTGATCGCTCCAAATTTATTATAGTTTAATATAATAAATTATTTCCTTTTCTCTTTTTTTTAATAAGTATTTCGTATTAATAAAAAAATTGATCAAATTTTTTCAAACTTTCGTTATTTTTTTTTTTACGGAAAAAGTGGAAAAAATAAGTGTAAAATATAAACTGAAGCTTACAATAAATAATCACTGAAACTATAATTGATATCTATTTCAGGCAGAATTTTTTAATAATTATGGAAGTGAATATTTCTAAAAATACATTAGTTCACATATAGAAACCCAATTCTATTGTATTCAATGCTATTATTACACACAATTCTATTAAAAATATTTTTGATTCGTTACAAAGGAAATAAGTAGAAACTAAAAAAAAAAAAATTATATGATTAATTAATTCTTTAGATATCTGTTTCTAAATACGTTCTTAATTATATTGCTCATAGTAACTTACGTTAATCTTTATTGAATTGTATATTTAAACTGGCCTCTTGAACGGTGGAAGATGCAAATTGCAATTTATTGACCACAATTTCCGTAAATAGATCAATATATTGGATATGTCTTTCTTATTCGATTAATGAAAATGATAATAATAATAATAAATATAATTTTTTACGTGATCTTTGAACTCACAAGAATTTAAACTTTTTTGCCTTTTAGAAAACAAAGACGACACATTTTTCGCGTCTCTTTCTTAACAGCGTCGGGCAAAGGGGAGCTATAATCCTAGGCATCCAGCCAAAGGAAATATCCAATTCATGACTAAACACACCATAACTTCATATCTATTACTAATATTATTTTAATTATTGGTTTAATTTTTTCCCGTAAATATTTGATTAAAGTGAAATATTTTATAATAAATAAAATAATAAAATATGATTTTCAAATAAATTTAATAACCGAGATTTACATCGTTATTTAATTATATTTCGCCTGGTTGGTAGAGCGTTAGGGCCATGTGTAAACGGCCGTGATTTCGATCCCAGTCGGCCGAGGACAATGTTGTAAATGGTAACTGGTGCTCGCTAAATCTCTCGGGGTCACAAAATCCTCCAAATTCCCATAACAAATCAATACCTTTGGGGGCAATGAATTGGAAATAGATCGTTCTCTGGTTCAAGTTAAAATTACTATCTGTGGATGACTGAATGGATATAAAATTACTATCTGTGGATTACTATCTGTGGATGACTGAAAGGATATGGGTCCGTCCTTTAAAACAGGATGTGACGTGAGTGTTTGGCTAAAGAAGTAATCTTGGCCATAGATTAGTCTGCCATAAATTCGCTTTGTTTCACCCAGCAGGCTTCGGCAAGCGGCATTAGAAACGACAACATTATTTTTTTTTTCCAATTAGGAAAGGAAAAAAAAAATTGAACCGCGATGGTTCAGGGGATAGAGCGTTCGCCTTCTAATAAGGCGAACCTGGTTCGAATCCCAGTCGATACGAATTCCGCATCCGGCTTGCACCGATCACAGTGCTGACGTGAAATATCCTCAGTGGTTGACGGATCATGAGTTAGAGTCCCCTTACCGTCAGGCTAACCGTGGGAGGTTCTCGTCAGTCTTCCTCTCCATGTAATGCAAATGCGGGTTAGGTCCATCAAAAACGTCCTCCACGAAGGCAAAATTTCTCCCAATCCTCGATCCAAGAGTTCCCTTGTCTTCTGGATTGGGTTCAAAATTTCAAGGCTGCAGAGTTGAACATTAGTAGTCGTAAGCCCATAAAATTGGGTCAGCTGTTCAACGACGGTTATTAAAATAAAATAAAGTTAGTAAAATTAAAAATAGCATAAAGGACTTTAGCATACATTTACATAAAAATTAATTTGAAACATTAATTATTTTTATTTATTTATTTTTTTAAAGAAATATCATTTCAAAGCTCCCCACTCCAGTGTTTATTAGAGGAATCTAATTGAGTAGTTCGCTCTATCGACCCAAACATCCATACAACCCTGCACACCACTGTTTTTTTTTTTTTTTTTATCCGAAGACTATTTCGATAGTAATTAACTTAAAAAAAAAAAATTTTTTTTAACTACTTCAGGGCTGGCGGACAGCGAAAGAAAGCGCTTCCCCATGTCCAAATGTTCCGAATTTATTCGTACTAAAGAGTATATATACGTACTACTACGCGATGTAATACGAGAGCACCGTATTGAGATCACGGAAATGTAATCTGGTGCCGCTAAAATTATAAAGGCACGTTCCATATATGATACTGTGGGCCCATGGGGCTCCGCGAACTTATATTTTTGGGAGGAGGAAAATTTTCATTTTGCCAACGAATTCCTATTTCGATCGAATCATAAATTAGTGCCAACAATTGTTTTTACATATTATAATAAATGGACATCAAAACCGTCTCTAAAAAAATCTTCTTGGTGATGAAGCTATAAGTTATAAATAACACAGTAGTCAATTTTTCCCGGAAGATTTTACATTTATATTTTAAGTGTTAGCAAAATTTATTACTTAGATATTTTATTCAGTGCTTAATAAATTTGATTTAAAATGCTTATTTTAATGTAAATGTTTTAAATGTTCGATTTTAAATGTATACCTAATCAATTTAACCATTTGTATAAACTATCTGACAACCAATAATGTGGTGCTAAAGAAATTTATGGAAGCAGTTTAGAAATTAAGTATGATTGGTGTAGGATAAAATCTACAAATGAGTATATTAATCTAGAGATCTTCAACCTTTTGCAATTCAACAACATTAATTCGGGAAATCGCGAGAGCCACGCATGTATTAAATAAAGGTAAAGAAATTCAATAGCAGGAGGAGAATATGTAGTAATTTTTTTTAGTACTAGTATGAGGTATTGAATATTTTCTGCTTTTGAATTTTGCTCTCAGAACGAATTAAACTAACAGCTGTTTCAACTATAGCGTATTCACAGTTTGAAAAATTGATTGTTCCCAAATTTCCTTTATGGATGATACAAAAAGTTATTATCATAAGCTAATTTGTATATCTCTATTTCGGATGATACAGGCTTGCATGTATTCGGAAATAAGGCAATGGCAAGACAATGACAAAATTGTGAAATGGCTACCTTAAAATATATTTAAGCATATTTTTTTCATAGCTATTTTAAAAAGTCAAATAAACGTGTTATAATTCCATTTGTGTTTCTTAAAAAAAAAAATTAAAAAAAGAAAAAAGAAAGCAATTAAAAAAAATGAAATTTTGTAAGTTTGCCGAATGGCTAGACAATATTTGCCGAATAGTAAAAATCTTTGGAATGCCCGAGAGACCTCCCATCCCGTCGCCCCTGCGTGAGCCGTGGATCATGAACCAGAAGGGTTTAAAGATTACGAACATTTTTAATTTCTTATATTGTTTAAAAAAATAAATTTTGAAAAAAAATGTATCAAAAATAAAATTAAAAATTATACACTATATTAACACTAGAAATATTAGGTTAGGGACTGTTTACAGGTAATGGATGTTTAGTTGGGTTGAAGCTACGAACTAGTAATATATAATACATATTCTTAAAGTCCTTGTCAAAAGTGAAATCAAAAAAGTATACATATGGTAATCGCAAATTAACATTTAAGCTAGGAAGGAACAAAAAATCTAGCATAATCTACCAAATCACTACTTTCGAAGAATGGACTAAAGACTAAAAGCAACAAAATTTGTTTGATTACTGACGAAAACAAAGGATATAAGGATTAATATAACCAAGTGTCATCAGGCAATTAAACTGGTTTTAATGTTTTTCCTCTCGTCTTTTTCTTAAATTATTTGTTACATTTTCGATAGCATAATGTTCATGTTTCATTTTCATAAGGAATGTAACATTGTATATTAAGAGCGATTATTACAAAACATCCCTTATAGAGATAAAAATGATGTAAGACTTGGATATAAATGACCGCAAGACTTTTCTGGTTTCAAATTTTATGTATAATCGGACACTCTTTCAGTGCTCAAATAGGAAAACAGATGTATTGTTAAAATGTTATGAAGGAAACTATTTTGATTTTTATTATATTTAAAAAAATTTTGGGGAGGAAGGGGGAATTAATGAACTAAACAAATAAAGTTTTACATTTCAATGGTTTTTAAGTAAAAATTCATTTTCTAAAAATTAAATTTCTGTATTACATGTCAATAATGTGCCAATTATGTATTATGTGTTAAAAAGTCATTTTGGTAAAATTTTCAGAAAACAATATATTTTAGATACATTGACTTAAAAGCTTTGTTGTCACTATCCCAAACCTTAGACGTGACGTAATAAAATATTTTATTACAATGACATAGTACATCATCAATTTAAGGCAAATACCTGTAAAGTCCTATTTATTTAAAGTTTTATTTTAAAAATTTTAATATTTTCAAAATATCGTTTTTATTTTCCTTATACGCATCACATTGTATTCATAAAAGTCCATTTGAGTTTTGAATATAAGATTGTAACAAGCAGTGGCGTACATAGACCTAGGCCTGCCCCCTGTAAGAGTTAAAAATGTGCCTTATCTTAGAGTTAACATAAATTTTAAAAATTATGATATGAAATAACAACACAATGAAAAAACATTAAGGTATTTATAATCTTTCATTTTATTTTAATTTATATTAATTTATATATTTTGATCTCAATTATTTCAATATTGATTAATCAGGAATTAATAATTGCAATGGAAAGGTACAATTTAGAAAGAGTACTAAATTGGAACATAGCATACACTTACCAACTTATCATTGACATAAAATTAATCTTGAAAATATGTGAAAATAACTCATTATCTTGCAATAATCATATTCAAAGTTTAGTTTAAAATATTTTTATTCGTCAGGTGAATTTAAAAATAATTTATGTAAAAAAAATTATTTTAAGGTACAATATATGGGGGTGCACAACCTTTTCAATGAAGTACC